CCGCACGGGTCTATGTAACTCCTTGATTTCACGCACCCCTTTCCGTTCCCCTCGAAACGCCGACACTCGTTTGCAGAGACAAAGACAAGAGCAAGGACGACAAACGGGCGAAGAAGAGAGGAGGGGCGGCAGCAGCGGTTGTTGGTGCTGTTGGCGGAGCGTCTTCCGGTTCAAGTAGAGAGGGCGTGGCCGGGGGTGCTGATGGTACAAGCGAGGGTTCTGGAGCAACGGGAAAGGAGAAGGGTGCGGCGGCGGCGGCGGCGGCGGCGGCGGTGGCGGCGGGCGATGATAAGGAGGGGGGGGGAGAGGACGGGGTGAAAGGCCTCTCCTCGTTGCTGGGCGCTTACCAGAGCGATAGTAGTGACGGTGATGGCGATGCGTGAGAGGCTGTACAGCTGTGTGGTGTTTGTTCTGTACAAAGTCTTGAACCCTACTTGACGGAGAGTATATTGATGCTGCATATTGGCTTTTTGAAGTTGGTCGCGTCACGTTGTTTGTCCGGGTGCATAACTCGAACTCGATTGTTACTCGCTTCGAAACGCGCGGCTATCGCGTGTTCGCCTTCGGCGTGTCATAGAAGAGGGCCTCGCCGTTCTGGTTTGATGGTCGTTCGTCATGTCTGATATGAAGTGCCATATAGCGCCTGTGAATCCGCTAGAATCGGTGTTGCTCCACGAGTGGGTGTAGAGCAGCAATCGGCGGGTGCACACGAGGGTGGGGCAGATCAATATTGCAGCGCGAGCTACCCTGCCGTGAAAACTCAAAGCCATATTTTTCGTCTGTTCTTCGGAGCAAAGGGATGGTGCTTTTAGACCATGTTCGTTCTTCAGTTGCAAGTCACTGGAGAGGAATTCCCTCGGGTGGGGGGAGGAAACGTCTTGTCCCTCAACCGAATGGTGCGATTCACTTTGTACCTGCTTGTTTTCTTGTGGTTTTCTGCTCTGCAACAGTCTCGAGAAAACCATCCCGCCGCCCCCCCCCACCTCTCCCTCCGCCCTCTATGTTCTTGTTGGGGTGGTCAATGCCGTTGTTGTGCAAAATATTCGAAGGACTGCACGACCTTTGTGGTGGCGGCTGGGCAGCGCCCTTCACGCCGTGAGAAACTGCAGCAGAAGTACATAGTCAGAGCGCCTCCGGTATGTTCCGAGCAAGCTGGCGGTCTCGCGGTACAACATGTCCAACGCTTGGATTCCAGAGAACGACCTGGGCCGCACGGCGGGACATCATCGTAAAAAACATGGCACCTACCTATATTATGAGTTTCATGTTTGCAGACGAAATACTTGTGTACACTGGGTCGACTCCGTTGTCCCCTACGTTGTAGAACAAAGTTGTCCCCAACCCACAAAACAGGCATGCGTACTGACTACTATCAAGCACGGAGAAAGAGGTCTGCATTTCTACTGCTGCCGTAGGTCTAGGTCTTGGAGGATGAAAAGACGATATTACAAAAAAAAAAAAGCGAAGATGCCTCTTCGTATTTTTGGCGAAAAGCGAAATCCGCGGCGGGGGGCCGAGAGGCAACCAACCCCACAGCCGCCGGTTTTGGAGAGAGCAAGTCGCACGGACGAAGACGAAGCGACACGGCAGGAGCAGCATGGCGGCAGCGGTCGAGGAAGACTGGGAGAGCGCTGTTGGCGCCTTATCCCTCGTGAGTCCCCCCCCCCCCCCCC